GATAACGGTTATACATGCACGGCAGCATTACTAATTACGGCAGTTCCTTTTTCAGCTCTTGTACGCCGTTGGTGGTGAATGAAGATATTGACCAGGCCATAATATGCAATAATGTTGCCATGGCCCGTTGTTTAAGACCTTGCCCAACTTCACCACCAAAAATGATGTCTTTAATCGTTATAACAAATAATTTCATGCAAAAAATACAAATCGATCTTGTATGAAAATAAAATCTTTACATTCGTTAAGTTCCATTCAAGAATTACAATTCTCGGCATCAGTTGTTTAACTCTTTTGATTAAATATTACTACATCTGGAAAAATTGATTTTGTGTTCCATTAATGCAACGTTAACGGTTGGCGGAAAGCCATAGGGGTTGCGCGGTTGCGGTTAACGGTATGATAAAAAGAATAGTTTAGTCGGTAATCGTACCCGCGTTCAATGTCCTTTGTGTTAGTATATTAAAACATCATTTGTCGTCAATCACTCATCAGTTATGACTGTAGATACACACTCGTTTAACTGTAAGGCTTAACTATGGTTCAAGTTTGGCATATGTTGCTTTCAAAACAGAGTGTTATGATGAAAAACCGGTAAATTTTAATTTTTAAATCAGAAAAAACAGCTGCCCTTTATCGTACACCTTCTCACAATACTTAACATATTCCCTGAAGACACGCGCTCAACAGACGCCACGCCACCATTGTATCGTGGCGTCTTTTGCGCGCCATTTTCAAACGTCAAGTCGCTTCAATCAATTTATCTAGAATCAACATAATAAAAGATAATCGTTAGTTTGCAAATTTTTTCATGTTATGGAATCAGAGAACAGTTAAAGGTGCAATTAAAGCTTTCTGCGGAGTAAATTAATATATCTTCTACTAACTACCTCGCTGATACAAAAAACACTAAATATAAGGACAAAAACCCAAAAACCAGATTTTTATATGCAACTGATTATTATGATCCTCTCAAAGGTCGATTGCATCAAAAAAACAGAATACTCGATGATGGAAATTTCCTTCCGACTTGAAACATCGAATCCCAAATGATAGACTGCGGTTGTCGGGTGTCAAATATAAAGTTCAAATTGCAATTGAAAGAATGAATCATTCAGTTCTGAAATAACGTCTATTTTATTTTTAAATCTTTTTGTTTTATTAGCAATTATTTATTATTAGGAAAAGCCTCCAGATAAACTAGTTTCACATGTGAATCTTCCATGTTTCATCCTTGACTGACGAATTATATATAGTTTTATTTGTTATTAAGGTAGGGATATATATGCATTTCATAAGTTTGAGTTTAAAGCTATCAAATTTCTACCTACATGTGGGAACCAGGCAACTCTGTATTCCCAACGTCGAAACCAGAATGCATTTGCTACTCTGGGGATTGTGGCTTTGTTCTTGTGGATTGACATTGGCCTTTGCCTTGACTCAAGTTTCAGTTGGACTCGTGACAAAGGCTTCTGGATGATCTGTATTCGATCAAATCCGATTGAGTCAACTATCCTAAGGCTTCAAACGGTTCCGTGCTTTCACTTGAGAAACTTTTAATGTGGTTGTATGAAATATAGTCAATCGTACTTGCAGTTACCAATAAGGGTTACTGTTGCGTTGAATTTTTTTGCAGATTTCGTAGAAGGTGATGCTGTGTTTCATCTTTGCTTAAATACGAGCATTTCGGTGAAAAGGATAAATAAAAGATATCCTAGAGTAAAGGATATTTATACGGATTTATTACTACTGCTCACGTTTAGTCATCTATGAAACTGTGGTTCAACTTTAAAAAATATATATTCATCTATCATAATTATTGTTTTTTTTGCTTATCGGGGGATATCCTGAAAATGAGTTTTCCGCATGGGAATAACTCATAATTGATAAATTAGTTAAAACAGGAATGAATTTATCTAATGTTTGCTGTCGTTGTCTTGAACTGCGAAACACCAATTGGTATTTTCCGCACTTAAGTACTATACTTCATTCATGACTAATCTGGAAATTACGGCTTACGGGCGACACGAATTGTTTTTTCGTGATATGTGATGGAATGAGTTAATGGCAAAAACAATAAAAACAACTTTGGCTACACTTGTAGTGTAGTTATAAATACTTTTGAAATCATTTCTCCGAGGATAATTTTATGAATGATTAAATGTTACTTCTCCATATTACACCATCATGGTATATAGAAACAAAGCCGAATTTTTAATGTTACATCTAAATCGAAAGACTGAATTTACTGTATATATATCGATGTATTAGCTTTTAAATTGATCTAATTCGGGTAATTAGGACCCAATCATCCAAAACGTTGTTCCACGTGCGCCGACGTAATCGGTGATCGTCTCAAGTACCAACGCTTTTTCGTTTCAATCAAAATCCCGTTCAGGTGATGCCGCTCTCCCGCACAGGTGCGATGGCGCCGAGCAGTCTCACTTCTTTTATTTATTTTGTTTCTCTCGGTTCTGTTTTCCATCGTATTTTCATTCTCTCGTTTTTTTTTTTATATTTGCAACTAAAAGCGGTTATATGAGTCTGTTTATTTCCTTTTTTCGATCTTACTTCCGCTAAAGGTCTTAGCTAGCCAATCATGCATTAGAAATGTTTTTTTTTTATAGTGTGATTAAACCCAAAATGTCCCAATTTTCTACAAATTTAATAAAGAGCGTTCCATAAAATAAGTTACTATACAAAAAACTAATTCTGCAAATTCCCAAAAAATGCAAAAAAAAAAAAATGAAGCAAAGTGCTTGAAACAGTATAATAAATGTATCAAGTGCCAAATACTTGGAATATAACTTGAAGTGCACCGCAGCTTGAAGTACTTGGCCCCAGTCTCAAATTTCTGAACTTGTGGGCATTTGGAATTTACAATTTATTTCCACAACTTAAAATTTTGACTCTATTCAAAACCATCTGATTATTGTGAATCCAGATTTTCTTTGATTTCAGTTAAAACGATAGCGCCACCATATTACAAAATGATGTTGTTTTATGATCTAACACGGCGTGTATGGCCGAATAACACCCTAGCATAAGAGATGTAAATACATAACTAATCGGAAAAAATAACCCCTTGTGATAGTTAAAAACTGCTTTGGATTGATTTTTTAGTGTCAGTGATTGTGCGGGCATAGATACTTTAACGTCAAATACACAGTAGCTATTTGTTTTACTTTCGTTATTTCTACTCAGTGGCATTTTTGCAGAATAAATTTTGGTTGAATTTAACCACAGAGGGAAGCTGTGGTATCAATTTGATCTTAAAAATGAAACAGAAGGTTCACCTGACAGCACCTGACGCCCAGCTGAAGGTCTGGTTTCGATAAGCGGGTCAAATTATTTTTAGCTACTTTTATTGAGAAGCAAAAAGCTTGGGCGTTTATTTTTGGATAACGACCACAATATTCAACCACTCCACAGAATTCCTGCAAGTTGGCTGTATTAACAATATTTGATACGTCGAATTGGGTTCTCGGTAATTTGCTATAATCGAATAAAAAAGATTTGCCCAATATTTTGCTAACAAAGGTGTGGCGTGTAATTCATTTAATTCGTTTCTAATCGTATTGTTTAACGGTTATAATAACCGTACTAAATGCTCTTACGTACAGGTGAGAGGTGAATGGTTTAAGGGTTTTGGTTTTCGAATTAGACTAATGATTAGTCTCAATTAGTATACTGTACTTCTATGATGGACTATTTGCTAATGCTAAAAAATGTACACTAACAACTGTTGATAAGTACATCCATCGTTCATTCGACATCGCCATTTTATAATATATCGCATTTTAATGTTATGTTCTCTTGTATGACACGATGAAATGTGTTGATTATACATCTGCAAAGTAGTATAGTCGGTGAAGGATTTAGGTAGATAGAAGAAAGCGAACAAAACCAAACTTGACATCAAAATATAAGGCAAGAAAAGCGTTATTTCATACTGAAATAGTTCTACTCAAACGGATATATATAGTTAGATTTTTGTTGTCATATTTGTGATCAAGCATGTCCCATATGTAACTTTTGGTCTTGATGTTATCGTGACCAAATCAGATTTTAGTGAAATGCGCCAGACAAAAAGTGCGGACAATCTGATGATGAGGCGAGATACCATCGCAAAGTATGGTCAGACTCGTCGGCGCCATCGCACCTGTGTGGAGAGAAGAGAAACAAATCGTGCTTTGAATGAGACGTTTAATGGGTCTACCTGTTTGGACGAGAAGAAAATAAAAGAAACAAAATGGATAGACCGCAAAATCAATCATTCGGGCTAGTATGAGTGGATTACAGATTTGATATCATCGCGTCAATTATTTTATTTAACTTACTTAGCTACAAAAACTTAACCTGATTTTGCTTTCACCACTTTGGCGTCAAACGGCTTTCATTAACCCCGTGGATCCCGTGCAGCAAGCAAAACAGAAAAATCGCTTATGCGTTAATAGTGGAACTAGTTACATTTATAGAAAATGTGGAACCGTGCGGTAACGAATAGTTAGTGTTACAGTGTCACCACAAAACTGTCAGACTGGATGGCGCCGCTTCACACCTGGGCCAATACCACTTTGTTTGTGCCTCTCTACGCCCTGGGGCTGGTCTATATTATATTCTCAACATCAAATGATGTACAGATTTCACAAGCCTTTCATGCTGTGTTCATTTATTGTGAGACGATACTGCGTACCTGTTTTTATTTTATATTTTATGAAATAAAATGTCGTATTTGATAAAAGTACATATTCTTATTTAAAATGCTAGTTAAACGTGCTGAATCGATATATTTATAAGCCATTCTTTCAATTTGAACGTGAAGCTCATACTCGTCTCAACACTAGCGTGGTGTGCCTATATTCCCACTGAGCGCATTTGATTTGTCAAATTGTCTGGATTAGTGTTCAAATGCGTGTCTCTCTCTGGTCTGTTGTTAACCAAATCAATTTCACAGATGTTGATGCAAACACTTTACAACCTCTCAAATCAACATATTCTTTTTAACTGACTCAATACAATTTATTGCGAAGAAAACAAATTATACAGTTCAAATATAAAAATGAAAATATAAGAAACAAAGGAATGTAGTTGAAGTTCATGGAAATGTATAAGCGTTGTTGATCCCAACTAGAATGAACATATAAACTTGCGAAATGCGTCAATGGAATTTTAATACAAACATCAGATAAACAAAACTAAACAATGTTCGAATAAACACAGCAATCTTTCTTCTCGTCAAATATGATATTTCATACAGGTGAACGCCAATGAATGCCTCGTGTAAATGACTTTTGATCGGGTGTTGAACATCTGTAACAATAGAGAAAATATAAATTTATTTATTTTGGACTACAGTAGAATGTATTGTTAGATTAACAGAAGACCAATAAGCTCGGATACCTATTTAACAAAACCACCATCAACTTTCATTAAGGGTGAGAACCAATTCTCAAGAGGTAACAGTTTACTCAAGTCTAGTTTGGTACGTTTAGAATATTACGCAAGTACGTAGGCTACCTCGACAAACTCTGATCACCGTGTTTCCCTCACGGATCTTGTCGATTTTCAACTCGCCTTCTTCTCGCGTACATTGCGCCCGATCGTCGGCGTCAAAACGTACCATATCTGAATAATAAGAAGAAATGAATTAAATAATGTGTTTAAAATTCACTTCTTCTTGCACGTTGAATACTTAGATTATTTTTTCTGATTATATTTATATCAAAAATTATCATCCAAAAATATCCGAATTCAATAGAATATAGATTATTGAAAAATCATAAAATGTTTTCTACTCTCGATAACGTTTCTCAGAGTGTTATTCATAATAAACAATGTCTTACCTTGATAGCATTCTTTATGTAATCGGCGTTTGATCAATTTACCCTCTTGGAGTAGACTGAAATGAATTTAATAAACAGAGCCATAAGCCTGTTGTTCCGTTGTCCATGCAGTACTTGATGACACCAAACTGTCATCTTCGTCAGCCTCCGATAAAGTTGAACTAAGATCGTAGATGTAGTCGATCGCATGTTGCATAATTTCTAAAGAGCTAAGTTCTTCAACATTCGTTCCCGAAACAGTCGGAACGACGGATTTCAACTTAGCCAGAAGATCAGAAATGCCAGATTCTTCTTCGTCATTTCTACGACATATCTTGATTGATTTTGGTGATGGCCTATTGAGGCATACGTTGCTGGCAGCAGTTGATACAGGTCTTGGAGAAATAGCTTTGCCCATTTTCAATTATAATTAGTCTCAACGGCAAAGAGAAAGGTTTCCAGTATATCAAACAGTATTACAGAAGTGCGAAACAAGCAGTAGAAAATCAAAACCAATTTGACTGATCAGACGGCAGTGTTCTCGTATTTATAGCCAATTTCTCATTTTTTCCCTTATCAATTCGTTATCGGCGCGCTCGCAGGTGTTTCAGTCGATTTCTTTTTTAAAGCAATCCAATCTCTCGTTTTGTAGTTCTCTTTTAAGAGGATGAGAGGACGGGAGAGATTATCAATTGATACACATATCTTCCCATAGACGTAGCGTCGCCATCGCCCAGCTGCAAATTACCAAACAAAGGATATTTGAATGGAAGCTGTATCAGAATATTCGAATTCTCACAAACAGAATTCACCGCACCAATGAAGTAACTAATTCCTTACAATGTTTAAAAAAATCGTGAGGTATATTAGTTATTTTACCATCTAACTTGGAACGACTACTTCAAGCATGGCCATGACAATTGTCAACATCGAAGTGAACACATGAATACAATAACAGAATATCTTGAAAATATTATTCAGATTTCAGCAATTTTCCATTGTTTAAGTTCTCCTCCCCCGGAGTTACAATATTTGGAATTTTCGACCATGTCTGACGCAATTCGCAAATGGGATTTCGATTTACGATGTCTTGAATATGATATAAATACTTTCGATACGACTCAGTTTTTTTTACATGTATGTTTTGCTAAATATACTATTTTATAACCAAACAGAAACCCCAGATGTCAAAACGAAACTGCTTACCTGTATATAAGATTACGTACGCATCACTATCTATTTATAATATATATTATGTAGCAAAATCGTATCAACTGAAACCACTTTTCGTCAGAATGAAACCGACTTTGAGCATAAACAAATGCCATTTTAATACATTCGTTATTATGTAAAAGGAATATCGTTAAGACATGTTTATTTGAACATCGAGATTATTACGTCAGTAATCAGGCGCAAAACATCAATTCACGATTTTCAACGAATCATTTTTTGCAAATATTTTGATTCCTTACAATCAGTTTGTCAAACGTACAAAATATTAAAATAAAAAATAGGAGCGACAAGACAAGACAACAAAAGTTAAGACCATATTATAACTGACTGATTATGTTTAACTAGAATGCATTTGAGAGCTTGTGCCAATGAAGGAGTAAACCTTGTATAAAATACCAACAGCATTCACAATAACACGGCACAGTCTAAACCGGAATTTTTAAAATATCTATATCCAGGCATTGAGGCGTCCACGAAATGGTAATATCTACCAGACGCTTTGGCGCCCGGACACCTGTGCGAGAATCGGCCCTCCCGCCGACTCCATTATTCCCTTTCTGTGTTGAAAACCGGTGTTATGAAACGGATTATATGCCTGGAATCTCGTGGTCCGATACACCTCAACAGTTCATTGTCGGATCAAGGGTTTATACCCAAAACAGAAGCCAAACAGGAAATATTTTGGGTCTTTCTGTCTTAAATATCTTGTATTCAATTTCATAGGCCCGAGAGAAAGAAGTAATCGGATAGCCCAAATAGGCTATATCATATCTACGTAAGTGGAAATCAGTTTCTGGTATTACTATATTGAAACTACTTTACGAATTAGACATGTGTAAGGTGTATATAGATAACGTCATATGGTATTAACCACGAGCTGATTTGACACGTTGAAAATCAATATTTGTGTCTTTCGGAATTTTTGGAGAATAAACTTGAAATCATTTTGTTTAATTACAATTCGGCATAGAAGAAACACATTTATCGTACAACGTACGTATTATAAGAACACATTCAGATACAAAACAACTCATACCGAGATCAAGAATTAGGCCACCGCTTACAAAAGGTTGCGGAATGTATTCATTCAGTTTTAATAAGCAGTTATTATCTCGCGGTTAAGGCGTACTGGCGACAGGTGGATTACCGATTTTCTGTAATGAGAAAAGTAAGACTACGCCCGACAAATTTTAAATTGGTAGTAAATTAGTGTTTTTTCGAGAAATTCATTTTGGTGACACTACACCCAAGTCATATGATTTGATAAAATAGTTATTGGTCGTTCTATGTCATTCCATAGTCTAAAGCAAACAGCGCTGAAAATTGACATTGAAGCAATTGCACTGTAGTGAGAATGAGTAAATCTCTACTTGTATGAACTGGACTTATATCATGTTCAACTAATCCAGGCCATATTGTAATTAATAAAATGTTTTGCCTCAGTATGGATTAGTAGAATTTCTCCGTTGTTTACGTTTGAGGCACTCGCAAGATTCCGAGGCCAAAAGTCGATAATCTGCTTCGGAATATCACAATGACTGTTTATAATTCAAAAGATTTAGCTTGTTGTTAGGCGTGAAACATGCGTTGAACATTTTGGCGACGCCAAGTCGGCTCACCTGTAAATATTTCATCGTTTCCTCATTTTCTCCATTATTTCTTTATTCAGAGCAACAAATTAACACAACACCTGAGCTAAGAAACTTTATAAATCAGGTGCTCTAAGAGTTTTTTTGCTCAATAAAGAAACAACCGGAAAATTGAGAAAAATAACATTAAATATCCAAGCCGCGTTGCTCGGTCAGACTAGCTGGCGCCGAGACACCTGTGTCTCAAAGTTTCGAAATCGCTAACGCATACGACGGCGACCTCCACGAAAACAATCAATCTTATCAACTTACCTGACGGAAGGTGTGAGCACAGGTGATATAAAAATGAAGAAAGCGCAAATAATGAAGTTTGTTTATTTATAGCACCACGTCCGCAGTTTATTACTAAATTAAGTTTACATTCAGAAAAATAGCAACGACAACCAAAAATGACTATTCTTTTTTTAGCTGAATATTCTAAGTAAGTTACATTTGAAGTCTCAAACTGGAATATTAAGATTCATTCGCAATTTATAGATTATCACTAATTTAATATGAACTTTTAATAACATTAATACATTAACGAGTGTTGAGAGGTCGCCTTAACAACTAACTATCCAAGAAAAACCATAAGTTAGGGATCCCAATGGCCTGACAAATATAATGATACAAATTGCAGTGGAATTAATAAAGAAGATTAGTTTAATGCAATTTTGCTCAAAGTAAGATAATGAGCTCTAAATAAAAGCTCATACATCAGCGATATAACAGTAGAAAGCGCATAGAAATTTTTAAAATTTTTGAATACAATTGTTTTCTTTCAAAATTTAATTTCAAAATTGATTCGGCGTAAATTTAGCATACCTCAAAAATGTATTTCATAATCAAGACAAGCTTTTGATATTCAATCAGCCACGATTCAAACTTCCGTTGTTTTGTAGTTGGCCCCTGAATAATGACATAGTGATTTTTTTTATTCATGCTCACAACAATGGATGATGATATTGAACTTGTTCACCAAACATCACCTTTGTTAAACATGTCATTTGTTCAAAGATGCGGCTGTCTTAATGCAAACTCAAACTCTGGTACGGAAATGTTTAATTGGCAAATGTGTTAGTCTGACGACCAAAGGTGACATTTGCTCAACAAGATTAATTTCCGCAAGAATTCAATTAATGATTTGATAAACAATGTCAAGTATGTTAATTACGATAAGATGATGGTCGATTCTTGTAATGTCGTTACTTATTCTAATGATACGAGTACACATAATTTATGTAGCAAATAATTGAACATATGTGTAATATTGTAAATATTATTCTGTTTTTCATGCTTATTTTTTATGAAGCTAGAATTATTCCAAAATTTAAGATTTATTTAAAATATGAATGACATTGCAAATTACCGTGTGATGGTCAAAAAAATTTTGTCTGCGAACAAAAGTGAAAAATTGCTTTCACACTTTTATACAACTTACTTAGGAAAAAAGTCAAGCGATGAAAACAGTATAGTTAATTGAGAAACATTAGTTTTCCATGTAGGTTTATTCTAGAATAACTTGGCGTACAAAACCTGCGTTAGGTCATTAAGGTTAAGAATCATTCCCAGGTAGTCGCTTGTTGCATTCTATTATTATTATATCAATCACTTAAACAATAGATCATATATGACAAACGTCGCAGCATCAGATATCCGTGGGAAGCTTGGTATCATTTTTGCTTTTGTGTTAACAATTTGGTCGTTTTTTAAAATTGCGATGTCCATGCATGGACAATTGCTTCAAAAACATCGAAAGTAACTACTGTCAACTTTGAATCATAAAACATGTTGTTTAAGAGATCGGCATATATATGGCCGACACTATTCAAACGCTTCTGGTAGCGATTTTGGTCAAAATTATCAGCTCGAGGTAACCTTAGGAACTTAACAATAACTTTTCAATTGTGAAGGCGCGAAGTCCGGTCACGCTGATAGGGATACAAGTCACACGTGCCACCGGAAACAAATACACTATTGTAGCATGTGTGTTTCCTGAGCGTACAATAGCTTGAATGCTACTGTATTTTTATATGATAACACCTGTGGTGTGATAACTCGCGGGGAGTTAAATTTCTTATCTTAATTGGGTATTCGTATTGTATTATGCACTACGTGGTGGTATTCTGTTTATGACAAATCAATCAGGGTACAATGTCGAATTAAGGATAAATATCTAACTGATTCGAGCTTTACAGACGAATTTGTGAAATACGTAACTTTACTCTTCCGTTACTCTTACAAAAATCCATCTTTCCAATGATAAAAAAAAAGCTAATAAAATAAGGAATATGCACAGAGTTGACTGTGTTACAATCCACCATTAAAATAAGGGTAATAAAAAATGGATTTCATTAAGAAGTTTTTACATGGAAAAATTCTCTCACATCGTAAACTGAGAGACAGTCGGCGTCAGTCAACAAAAGGAGAGAATGAATAAGATTCAGTAATAAAGAAACAAAGGATTTAAAGTTTAACGAGCAAGAAGTTCGCAGACGACCTGGCACCACGAGACACCTGTACATATTCGCCAACACAAAAGCGGTATCATAACGTT